CCCTGTAATGAACTGTAAGTTACTTTTAAGTTTGTATTGAAGAAAAATTAGTTTCCCCCCCCCCCCTCCCAATGGCCTCAACTCAAATACGCCTTTGCGGCGTTTTATCTTTATCATGGAATAGGTATTTAGGAAATCGTTACATTATTATTATGATGTCGTGTACGAATGAGTTTGAGAATGAAAATATTTTAAACGACATGATAATATAAAACACTTTCGCTCAGCAGTTTAATATAGGCTGTTGACGGGTTTAATTAAATTATAGCATGTGCAAACCGAAAAGTATTAAATTCCAATGGAAATCGAATGAGTGGCCGAAAACATATGAATTGCATTAAAATAATCGATTTGAGTTGTACCATAATACGTGAATGTATTGTGTTTTGCGTTGTACGAGTAAAATTAAACCGAATATTAATAAATACCGAAGTTATGAGTAGACTGCGGTGTAGGGCGAATGCCTGTCAACTCGGACACCGACCATTCGAATTGCATTCGAAAAATGATTCCGAGCGGAGCTCGATTATAACTATATAATACTATAACGTTTACTAAAGTGATATAAAATTATTCTGAACATAGTATCTACTTAGCAGTGTATTCGATTCGGTGTGGAAATCAATATGAATTGGGTTCGGCACATTTTATCCACGTCCATTCCATTAAAATATGCGCATAAAAATGCAATAAAAATATGCTTTAGTAGGTACAGTGCTATTGTAAAAAAAAAAAAAAAAATTCGAAACAATCGAATGCATTCAATTCGAATTACACGAGGACATGTAACATTTCTTAAAATTGTTTATCATATTTCTAATTTATTTTTACGAAATTTAATATTGATAGTTTTCGTTTCGATACAACGACAGGTCAGGTCGCTTACGTAGATTTTTTTTTATTAAAAGAAAAGTTTAATAAACAAACGTGATATCAATATATATCAATGTATAATATGATTGGTGTTTATACTTAATTATTATGTTTCACACGTTAATTATTATGAAATTTGTTATGATAAGCAATGATTTATTATTTTATATTATTAAATTACACGGCAAGTGATAAGACATAAACTATGTACGCACTAATTAGGAGTACTTATAAACCACAATCACTCTGTTGCTTTATTAATAATTAATATTAGGTATACGATTTAGATACAAAATTTATGGAAACTCGAGAGAAAATTAATGAAAAAACAAATTATTTACATTACAGGTTTTTGTTCGGATAAAATTCAACAGCGAGAGACCTGGTTCGTATAATAATACAATAATATCATTCGTATCGCTATAATATCAACAATTTTATAGAATAAAACGTGATAAACATATGAGTGAATTATTCGAGTCGTTCGCAATGCGGCGCTATTAAATTAGTTTGGATCATTTTGGATAGTGCGCGCGGTAATAATATAATGGAAAACGAAATATTCTTCTTCTCTGTAGAAATATGCGAAATAATAAATCATTGTTATTATGCGTGTACCAGTGGGGAATAAAACCCTCCTCCGAAATTTTTAGGATAAATTAACTTTTTACGAGAAAACTAAACTATCTGGTACCTGTAATATTATATTGTACTTAGGTATTACAAATTCTCCATCATAATAAAATAAACAGCGTACATTTTAAAATACCTTTGTACGGCAATACGGGTATTTCCACGAAGATATTACAGTCTATCGTCATCTTTAAACGTATTTTATTTTGTGCGATTAATCACCTAGTGTGTTAGCCACTTTAATCTGTAATCGACAATCGTTATCGTCGTTTTCATGTATTACCGTACTACACTACTTGTCAATAAAAAATTATATCACAAATAAAAATTAGTAATTTATTAGAATGTACGATATGTTTTTTTATGTTCAGGTGTCACACCATCCAATATGTTAATTTAAAAATTACCCCCCCCCCCAAGTTCAGATCTAAGTGCGCCACTGGCGTGTACAATCGTTTTTAAATACACTTTTATCGATACATCCACGTTGTGCTGGTTGTCATAGTTCGATGATGTACCTGCACACGGTGCACCTAACGCGTAACATTGTGAAACACTGTCTCGGTGTATTTAATAAGAAAAAAAAAATTAAAAAAAGAAAGTGATGTTAAAAAGTTTTTTATTTTTTGTTTTTACGATTAAACAATGGACGATTCACGTGCACACATACAGCCTGCACAGCAGATCAACATTGTTACTTTGTCGGGGTAAAAAGGGTAGGAGGGGAGACACGTTCGTACGACATTTCGAAAACGTTCGGCGGCCGCGACGCGTAATAATAACCCGTATGGAATGCACGAACGGTATCGGGTGAAATGGCGCTCGTAGGTACCACGAGTCGTTGTTGTTACCGGGTCGATGGTTTATTGCGTCGCAGGAAATTATTCTCTACGTCGAGGAAACGCCGTCGCCACCGCCGCCACCGCCGCTACCGCCGGCGGGGAGCGGTGGGGCGTCCAGGAATGGAAAAAATAAAAATAAAAGAAGGGTCCACGAAACGCGCCGTGTCTCCTCCGGCCGACTCGCGCGGAACACGAACGCAGGTGAACCGTTCTCGATCCGATTGCGTGCGACCAAGGTTAAGCCGCGTATCAGAATGTTAGAACGCCATCGTTGTTATTATTGTAGTACTGCGGTTCTCGATCTTTTTGTAGTCGCAACCCCCTGCAATGTCACCAAGATTTAGAGTGTTCCTTATACAACATGATAACATTAAAAAGTAGTGATAAATTCGTATTAATTATGCAACGTTTTAATTTAAAATGATAAACTTGTAACGTGATAAAATGCACATCACACACACACACACACACACACACACACACACACACACACACACAC